GGTTTAGAGTTGGTAGGGACCTTGTTGACAATTTCATCCAATCACTTCATTTTGAAGAAGAAAAAATTGAGGCCTAGGTTGTGTGGTTTGTCCTTCGTTCTCAAAGAGAACCATGACATCAGGAAGATGATGCCATGACAAGTAAGTATGTATGACAAAGGAGCCAGGATTTAATCAAGGTCAGTGGTTTTTGTTTTTTTCCACCATGCTATAATGCTTTAGTATTGTAATTGCAGCATTCCAAATCAGTGCAATATAATAAGAAGACTCCTGGTCCGGAAGACAATGGACCTGAGTTCAAGCCCTAGTAATTTGCTCTGTGATCTTAAGCTAGTCCCTTCTCCTATTTGGGACCCTGCTTGCCCTCTGTAAAATGACAAGACTGAACACTGGATGATCCCTAGAGGCATATCTAGCTCTTTATTCCATTTTTTTCTTTTCTGTGTTTTTTCTTGGGTTTTTTTTTTTTTTTTTTTTTTTTTTGGCTAGGCAATGGGATTAAGTGACTTGCCCAGAGTCACACAGCTAGTGTTATGTGCCTGAGGCTGAATTTGAACTCAGGTCCTCCTGAATCCTGGGCTGGTGCTGTATCCACTTCTGTATTTTTTCTTGAGTGATTGAAAGGTTAACTGATCAGGCTCTTTGGAGAGAGGAACACCTCACAGCAGACCAAATGATGCTGAATGTTGACAAGTTTTTGGAGTATCCCATCTGGTAATCCTGAAGTCAAATGAAAAGAAGTGAAGAAATTTAGCCAAATATGAAACTGGAGAATTGAATACTTCCACATAATGCTTCTTCCTGAGGTTCTTACCTTGGTAGGGGATTGATGAGGTTCTTACCTTGGTAGGGGATTGATCCTCCCTGTTAATGCTTAATGAATTAAATGATTCTGACTTTAAGGGTAAGCTCACTTCTGTGGGAAATTACTTTGGTAAATATAAACACACCGCATCTATCTTCCACTTTGGTGCTATGGGTCTTCCTTCAGGAGCTGACGGTCCTGACTTTCTGCTTTTTCTGAATAATGAGCCAATGGAGTTCAGTCTCTTCTGTTTTCAATTACTCTGACCTGATTTCTCAGGTTTTTCTCATTTAGTGAGATTGAGTGGTTTCCATTTTTGTTAGCTAGGTCAAATTGAATTGCTTGGAGTGGGTGGTTCCAAACAGGAGTCTAATGAAACTACCCTCCAGACATTCAGGTGGCTAATTAGTGTTCAGAGAAATCAGTAATCTCATGAACTACCCTTAGGCCATGTGAACTTGATGTTGACTGCTTCTGGTAATACCTTTGGGGCAGTCAGCCCTAGGGATCATCTAGTTCGACCCCTTCATTTTAAAGAGGAGGAAACTAACAGAGTGCCTGGCACATAGCAGGCATTTAATAAGGGCTTATTCCCTTCCTTTTTCCTCCCCCACCCCAGAGAAGTGACTTGCTTGAAGTCACCCAGTTAACTGTGTCTCAGTAAGGTTTCAAATTCAATTCTTCTGACTCCAAATATCAACGTAGCTACTGCAATCATGTTTAATAGTATCAACTATGGAAAAATGTGTGCGAAAGACAGATTCAGAGTTATAACATACTTGTTCACACTTATTGCTAAATATAATCAGGAAAAGAACCTTTAAAAATGTAACTCTAGAGGACTCACTAATCAATAAAAAATTAATTAAACTTCTACTATGGACAAGACTCAACGATCAAGAAGTACAGGACATGGTCCCTGCCCTCAAGGAGGTGCTAGTCTAGTTGGGGAGATAAGACGTATGTGCAAGAGAATAATTAACAATACTTTAAGGATCTTTGATATCATTCACATGAACAGCCACTCTGCAGATGAAGCTATATAAAAAGAAGGGAATAAACGTTCATTAAATGCTTCCTGTGTGCCAGGCTCTATGCTTTACAAATATTATTTCATTTGTCTTAATAGATCCTTTATGAATTACTATGGACAAAAGAAGTTTTTTCCTTGATGATCAACTTTCTTTGTGCTCAGTGAGACTAATCCTCTTACAATGGGAATGCAGATTTGTCACTCAGTCACACTCAAAGCCTTTCTGGTTTAGTAGGACCTACAAAAGCTTGTGTTCTGCTGGTATCATCCTCGAGAACCCAGTGTCACCTTCGTACCATGATAATTCTTCAGAGAAGGACTTTAGTGAAAACCTTTATATTGATTTAAAGCATGGACCACCCCCATTATGGCCCCCTTCAAGCTACATCCATGTTTAAGGCCCTCATTGGGTCAATGTCTAGTCAAAGACAAAGCTTATGAGTCCCCATTTAGTACTACTCTTTTATGAAACCAAAACAGAGGACTTGTTAACTCAAAGCAAAGGCATTTAATGAAACAATAACAAGGTAAATAGCATGGAAAATCATACCCCATACATGCAGAATCACATTCTCTAACAGTTTCCCAGGTCACAGATGGAGAAGGGGATGCTTGTAGCTCAGACCACTCACATTGCTGGATTGTGCTTTAGCAGGAGCATCTAATTGTCTGCCTCTACTGTCGCTTAATGCTTTTCCTGTAAAGGCTGCTGATGTTCCCCTGCTAGGCTGCTTTCTCTGCTGAGCTGTGAGCTGCTGATGTTTGCTGCTGGGTTTCTTTCCTCTACTGAGCTGCCTTCTGCCGCTTTTTCACTAAACTGCAGCTAGTGGCTTCTTCATTCAGTTGCTACCACTGTGTGCTACTTCTAGGCACTTCGGCTGTTTCTAAGCCACAAGAAGTATGTATAACTCTTTTGTAAGACAGCTCATAGTCTAAGGGCTATTTTAGCTCTTTTGTGACTCAGACCCACAAATGGACTCAGCTAATATAACAAACGCAGGACCCTCTAACAAAGGACGAAGGACATAGGTGGCACAGTAGATAGAGTGCTCAGCCTGGAGTCAGGAAGACTTCTCTTCCTGAGTCCAAATCTGGTCTCAGACACTTCCTAGCTGTGTGACCCTGGGCAAGTCACTTAACTCTGTTTGCCTCAGTTTCCTCATCTGTAAAACTAGCTGAAGAAGGAAATGGTGAACCACTTCAGTATCTTTGCCAAGAAAACCCCAAATGGGGTTACAAGAGTCTGAAATGACTTAACAACAACAAAACAAAGAGTCTCTTAGTTCAAATCCTTTTGACTAATCCCTTTTGGCAGGGATTAGTGGGCTTCCCGGTCCAGCTGATATTTGGATTGGGGTTAATAAAATCCTTTCAGCTCCCATACATCCTTGGCCATTAGCACCCAGTCCATGTAGATTACCATGGAGCTTCACTTAGCACCACAAGAGAAGTGGGATATAATTGTTGACCTTTACCCCACATACCTACAACTACACCCTCTCCAACCACCACCTTTATTTGTAGAAAATCAAATACAAAGTGCCATGAGAGAGACAACTGGATTTGAAGGAAGAGGGTCTGGGTTCAAATCCTGGTTATGAAAGTAATTAAAGTAAGTAGTATGCTTCTTACTACTTGACTTACTTTAATTAAACCTTGCCCCTGTATGAGTCTTTGTTACTTCATCTGGAAAATGAGGGAGAGGATGTGGACAAGGGGTTCTCCAGGGCCTTGTCCACACCTGAATTCCATGCACCTGTTTGACTTTTGGACTTACTGGCCTAGTTGTTTAACTAAGTTGCCCAATTCAATGTAGATAAAATGGTCATGTGGGTTGTCTGATTAGGCTCAGCCTTATACCAGTCACATTGTGTAAAGAATTGCCAGAGAGACCTTCCATTCTCTCTCCAGCAAGGCCAGTTCTTCAAGGCTCTTATTTGTTGTTTCCACTTATACTCAAATAGTGCAGTAAAAGAGCCATCCCTTCGTTTGGTCCCAGAAACTGTACTCGTGTCCTGTCCGATTGTCCTCTCCCCACCTCCTCCAATGCTCAGTGTCTCAGTTTATTCCATTCTGCTCCTAATACTAACCCATTTTCTCATAATAACCCCCAGAGGTAGATATAAGATACACCCATTTTGTAGATAAGGAAACTAACATCTTGATAAGTGAAGTGACTTATCCAAGGGTTGTATGGCTATTAAGTGACAGAGCTGGGGGTGTAAAACCACATCTCTTGAAGCCAAGTCCAAAGTTCTTTCCCTAAAGCCAAGCTGAATCCAATATGTGGACAGGGCAGGAATGGACTAAATGAATGACTGACTGTCTTATGGAAGTCTATGGGTTGGCTGTTGGGCTGCCTTATCTAGCATTTCTCTGTACTCTTAGGAAATTCCAGGCAGGATTGGTCTTGTGGCAAGGCAGAATGGATGGCTGCCCATGTGGTGTGATTTCAAGGGAAGGTGATGCCTTAGATAATCACAGAACCTCTTCTCTCCCCCTTCCCATTTCTGATGCTTAAGTGACTTGTCCAAAATCAAACATCAGGTAAATGGCAGTTCCAGAACTTGAACCCAGGTCATCCAGGTTTATATCTAGTGCTCCTTCTTTAAAAAGAAAAAAAGAAAGAAAAGAAGGAAGGAAGGAAAAAAGAAAGAAAGAAAGAAGGAAAGAAAGAAAGAAAGAAAAAGAAAGAAAGAAAGAAAGAAAGGAAGAAAGAAAGAAAGAAAGGAAGGAAGGAAGGAAGGAAGGAAGGAAGGAAGGAAGGAAGGAAG